CCACACCCACCTCTCCAGTGACCCCATCCAGCCACCTCAACCTCTGCCATCCCCTTCTCCTTTTGCCTTCAACTGTTCCCAGCATCAGGGTCTTCTCCAATGAGTCCTTCCTTCTCATTTGGTGGCCAAAATTTTTGAACTTTAGTACCTGACCTTCTAAAGAGCAGTCAGAGTTGATTTCCTTTAGGACTCGCAGGAGTCTGCTCCAGCACCAAATTCAAAGGCCTCAGTTCTTTGGCACTCAGCCTTCCTTATGGTCCAACTTTCACAGCCATGCATTGCACCTGGGAAAACCATAGCCTTGACTATACACACTTTTGTTGGCAGAGTGATGTCTGCTTTTTAGTATGCCATCCAGATTTGCCATAGCTTTCCTCCCCAGGAGTAAGCGTCTTTTAACTTCTTGGCTGCAGTCACCATCTGTGGTGATCTTGGAGCCCAGGAAAATAAAATCTGTCACTACCTCCATTTCTTCCCCATCTATTTGCCAGGAAGTGATAGGACCAGATGCCATGATCTTAGTTTTCTTAATGTTGAGGGAAGTAACTCAGTGATTGAGAAGCAGAGAGGCAAACGACAAAGTCATGAAGCCTGTCTGAAGGAATGTGGAAGGGAGATAAAGATAATTGGCTTGAAAGAAAGTGTGCAACTTCCTATCTTATCCTCCCAGTAGTTTTATGAGACGGGGGGTCGTAGGGCAATGTAAAGTTAGAGAGAAGTGAACTAGTGAACATGTAGTTATAAGCATGCAGACATAATAGGTTGATGAATATTAACTCACACACCTTGATTAGACAATGGGCTAATTATAATGCACATGTGAAGTATGCAGATATGTAGTGGGATGAGATGGGAGATATGCAGTAGGAGAATGGAAAGACTGTAACCTCCTAGTACCTTACCCAATGAGGGAAGAGAGGAGGACTGTGGAGGATGGATTGAGGGGTAAAAGGAACTATGTTTATGTGTTTGTACTTTGGAGAGATTCTGATAGAGCGGGCTCTCCTGTCTATTGCAATAAACAAAGTAATTCACCTCACTCTGTTAGTAGTCTTGGTTATTTAACTTGAGAAGAATTTTCACAGTTTTTTGCATAATAATGTTGAGTTTCAAGCCAACTGTTGCACTCTGCTCTTTCACCCTCATCAAGAGGCTCTTTAATTCCTCTTCACTTTTTGCCATTACAGTGGTATCATCTGCATATTGCTTCACAAATTACTGAGTAAGGGCAACAGGTCCCTTCTAACGTTTTTCTGTGCATGTTAAGTATCTGTACATTTGTTTCTACACAGCAATTCATCAGTGTGTCTCACTTTGGGTTATGAACTGTGTGTTGTAATAGTTTGTTTTCATACTTTTATAATCCATTTTTTCTTTATGAGTATACTACGAGTATGGCTCAGAGCAGAATCAAGACATATCAAAGACAATGCAACACAATACATATCATAGCAGTAAAAAAAACAAGAACAAAACATTAGATGAACAATAGCAACAATAATCTTTTCTAGTATGTTCCATAATGTTTAAAACAATTAAAGCAGCTAAACAGTTTATTGAGCTTGAGTCCCCAAAGTGCTTGCCAGAAGGAAAATAAAGACCTCCTTCAGAAAGGTATTCCACAATCTGTTTTATCTCATATGTACCAGCCACACCTGGAACATGGCTTCTGATGTTGATTGCAGTGTTCAGATAATTTCATATATGAAAGGAGGTAGTTCAAAATATCTCTGTTCTAGATTGTTCAGGGCAAAGTACTAATAATATCTTAGTTGTATCCACCAATCTGCAGATTCCAGTTATTTATCTGGCAGGCACATTCTTGGCACATTCTGACCTTACCATCCATGATTCTATGTTGAACTAACTGTAGTTTCTGACCCATCTTAAAGATATCTTCATGAAGAGTGTTACAGAAGTCTAATATGTTTGGCTCAAAAATGTCTCAAATGTCACACTTATTGTAAATTATTATTGTAAATGTGCTTAAATGAGGAGTTGCTTGCTAAATCTCTGGAATGGCCCTTGGCTTCTTTTGTTTTCCCCTGTATACCTCTTATTTCTTTCCATTGTAATTTCTGAAAACAAATAAAAAGGTTTTGGTGAAAACAGGTTAAAAGATTCGTTAGGGATTTAGGGGAAAGTATAAAGTGGACGTAAAGGTTGGTCAGAATCAGAGCACAACACAGTAAGTAGTTTAAAATGGCAATTCAGTGACAAATAACAAATGAAATAAAAATAGATTCTAACAGCACAGCCCTGAGTTAAGCTGCCTACCAAATTCTTTGAAAAACCTTGGTGTCTGTGGCAAAGTTTTCCTGGTGCCAGTGTCAGAACACCAACACACCTGTACCTGTATGGGAGGAAAATCTTGCTACAATCTCCTTTCTTGGTTACATTACAGGTCTTCCACTTCTTGGGAGAGTTGCTCAATAAACCAAAGCCAAGAAAGAAAGATCCCAACTTCCTTTTCCTTTCCTTCTCCCCTGGGTTTATCTTTGGTGCAATTCACTAGAACTTTCTTGTATACCACTGTTAGAGGCAAATGTTCAGGAGATGTCTTTTGCACCATATGCCAAGTCCTGTTTCCACACTGCCACTCTTGTTGGTCTGTCTGCCTCAGGTGACCAGCTGACTTTGCACGTCAGAAAACTTCCTGCATCTAAACTTCTGCTGTGGCTAATCCCAACCATGTTTAGACTCGTTTAGTTAGACTTGCTGCATACCAACAGCATCCATTTAACATCCATCCACTCCTATGACCATGACCCATCTGATGGTAACCAAACCAAGGAGAGCAGGGAATGAAAGAGAATGAGCGTGAGTACAAAAAGAAAGAAAGAAGAGGAAAGGCTCCAGAAAAACTGGGCTTTAAAAAAAAATTAATGAAGTGGTATATTTTGAGGTCCAAGCACTCATCAGGTCAATCCCCATAAGCACAGCCCTAAGGAAAGTCTAATATTTCAGGCAATTCTATTGATTCAAATCTGGGAGTTTTAATATCCCTCACGAACAGTTCTTTTGTAAAGTTAACAGGCCTTATTTGCTCATTCAAGACCAAGCCAACTCTTTGCATTACAAGAAACAATACCTTGTTGCTGGAAAAATTAACCCCACCCTCACCCTGCAGAGCTGCTGCAAGGATTGCAGCTAGCCTTAGAAGGAAGAGGGAATTTTGATGTGGTGGCAGATGACATCAGCATCCCTGCTAAACAAAAAGTGCAAAATATACAGTCTACATTGACAAGCAGATGCACATAAAAATGGCTGTTTCTCAACACTGAAGTAACTGTTGCATCCTCCTCAGACCCTGGCTCAGATTTTAAATTTGGGTGTTGCCACTGTCACCATAGGCCTGATGAGCAATAGTTGTAAGAACACAGAGTGTTCCATTAGTAAATGTGACTAGGATAATTCCACTCACTCCGTTTCCCTGTCTAGCTGCCTGTTACCAGGCAAAACAAGTACAACCTCATATTTGGCTGTATTTGACTTAGGATAGCTTGACTGCCTTTTCCTGTGTATGAGCTCTGGTTTACTTAATGGCATCATTTGGGCCCTGTCTGATGGACCATCACTACTTGGATTTAAGAGGACAACCACAATCAGAAGCCCTCACTGTGGTGGCCCCCAAACCTTTAGGTATTCCAGAAAGAGGGAAAACTATATCGACAACACTGGGTGTTAGGCAATAGCACCAGCCTAGCAAGAGGTCTAGAATAGGCCCCCTGGCGCACCTATCAGAAGAATCTATATTTGCAACAACCACCCAGGGGTTTCAGACCATGTAAAACTGAGGTGGGCAAAGTGTGGACTTCCAAATGTTTTAGAATACAACCCCAATGATACTTTGCTATTGGCTATGCTGGCTAGGGCTAATGGAGATTGTAGGCCAAAAGACTGAAAGAGCCAAAGGTTATCGACCACTGATGTAGGGGCTGTTTTCGGGGTCTTCATTAATCAGGTCTTCCATTCCTTTGCAATTTGTGGCTACATCTGCTACATATTTCTTTCTAATCTTCTTGGCAGCAATTGCAGAGAGAGCTTCATGCCAGGTCACATGTTCATCCAGCTAGAGAAGTTTATCATTAAGGGTGCCACAAACCACTCCCTTGTGTCCTTATATAAGAGACAGTAGAAAATATAACAGAAACATAGAAACATAGAAACAGAGCGAGTCAGAAGGGGTCTCCCGGGCCATCTAGTCTGACCTCTGGCACCAGCCGGCTCCGCTCACGACATGCCCACCATGTGGACGTTCAGCCTATCCTTGAACACCCGCACCAATGGGCCCTCAGCGACCTCTCGTGGAAGCCCATTCCACACCCTCGGGGTCCTGACTGTCAGGAAGTGCTTCCTGGCATCCAATGAATAAGATCCTCAGGACAACCTGATGGAGATGCTGTTTTCACGATCCTCATGCATCAGACCATCCTAGTTTTCTGCCATAGGTGTCTGGAATAAGGGAGTTGGCTTTCTGTCCTTGCCTGGTCAACAGGGTGGTACCAATGATCCAGCTGTGGGATCTTGGGATGGGTGTGCTCCTCTGCACTGTCCCTCATCTTACCCTGTCTCATAATGAACAAATAAATTGAAGTGCAAAGGCAGCAGCCACAGGAAATCACCACCATATCACTCTTGTAATATGAGAAAAGGATCTGAGGCTTCGCTGTTGCCACAGCTGGTTTGGCCCTTAGAGAGATGACACTTAAAGGCTTACGTCACGTGTACCACAGAGTTCCAAAGCTTTAGAGAATTCCCTGCTCTCATTGTGAAAGATGCAAAACAGCGGAAATCAGAAGATATTATGGGAAGGGCTCAGCAAGAGAAATTTCTCAGGCATGGTGAAAGCTAGTCAACCAACTGGCAAAACCAGTTCCAAGGAAAATTACCATTTACTCATCCAGAATTCCTAGCATTTTACTTCACCGGGCCATCCTCACTCTGCTATTGTCAGAAAAGTTGATGCGGTTCTGTTACATAATATGTACAGTTGCTTGCTATTTAAAAAGTTCTCAGTCATGAGATGAATCACATTCACAATGTGTATATCAAAGTGTTGATTAAATGTTTCAAGCAGACTAGAGGAGTTAGCTGGAAGTTTACTGGCCCAGATTTGTTGAACTCTAAACCAAGCTCACTCTGATAGTTGGGATCTTGCCCATGAGTTTGAGAACTACATATGGTGCAAAGCTGATTCACCATGAGTGACAAAGAGCAATGGATATGCAGCTCTTGCCGTGCAACACAGTCGCCTCCCTTGTCGTGCCTGCAGAAGACATCACAGTCTCAGGGTTTTTCTATACAAGGCTGTTAATTGGTGTTAGACTGCTGTAGCTACTTTTTGTTTTGTTGCAGAATTGACCAAGTTCCTCACCCTGCTTTTCTGCTATACACTGTTTAGGGGATGCTGTAGTATAGTGGAAAGGTGCAAATACATGGATCGAAAGAGTACTTTCACATATAAATGCAACACTTCCCCTGATCTGAAAAAGGGCCTGGGAATTTGTCTCTGCCCAGTTTCAGAGAGAGGTGTGGGCTTTGGGAGGCACCTACTCCTTCTCAGACCTAGCTGTTGCGAAGATGCTTGAGTGGCCCAAGGCAGAAGAATGTTCTTTTCAGGTTCTTTTCAAGACAGATTCAACCAGTGAAAGGAATGGCATTAACTGAAAGGCCAGAGAAAAAGCAAGCACTTAATGAACTGCCTTTCTTTAGGTCATGTTTCCCAGTAGAGTTAGACTGGCAAGAGAAGACCTCTACTTGCTCTACACCCGCATCAAGCTAGCACAGAGGCAAAACAGACTGAGAATATCACGTGGCACGTTTGGAAGCTAAGAGGATGGAAGACCAGCATGAAGCTTGCAGGCTGAGTAACAGCTATTTTCTCCTGTCAGCAAGAGATATTTAAAAAAGTGTGCAGTAGCAAATAAAAGGAAGAAATGTTTCACTATTATATCAACAACAATTCTAAAAATAACTTCCAGGTTCACTGACTTCAATTTTCCCCCTCAAAGCTTAAAAGACTTTTCAATCTGATGTAGCAAGAAAGAATCAGAAAATGTTTTATCGCAAAACAATAGCACATCTTGCTAGTAGGTGGAAAACTTTGTCTTGGTTGTTGCACAGCCTGTGCATTTTTTATTTATTTTAATTTAGCAATAATTACACAACTATGCAAGAGCATAGCATATGATTGTGGGAACGGAGATTCTTGGTCTGGCAACAGCAGCAGAGGCTGGGAGAATGTGGAGAGAGTGGCCAGGGCACTGGTGAAGGCAAGGCAGGAGCTTGGGCAGAGGGTTGGGGGGCGGGGCGGGAGGAGTGGAGAGGAAGGGAGGTGGGGCTAGCGAGGCCCAGGGGGCAGGGCCAGCGGCCTCTGAGGCTCACAGGGCCACACTCAGCCATTGGGCATCGACCCTTGCCTGCGCCCCTCAGCTGCCTGAGGACTCTCTTCCCCTCGGTCATTTATTTTTAATTGACTGTTCTGTTTTTCTTGTATTATTCTGTCTGGTGAGACTAGTCAGGTAACGGCAGTGTAAGACAGACAGGGCAGGGGAAGAAGGTAGGGCCTGCTTGGGGTGGTCTATGCCAGGCCGGGAGACAGTCATGGCTGGAGCCACAGCTGTTGCTGTCAAATGTGACACCTGGGCCATGTTTGTGTGTCTCTCTCTCAGGAACAGCAGGGATACATTTGTGCTGGGTGCAAGCTGGTGTCCCTCCGACAGGAGCAGGTGGAGTCTAGAGGATGCCCTCACCTCCCTCTGGGGGATAAGGGAGGGTTAGCAATTCCTGGACATGGCCAAGAGAGCTCTCCAAGCCGACCAGGAGCAGCCCCCTTCTGGACAGAAGGCTGAGGGAGGGGCCGAAGGGGAAACAGCCAGGGAGACATGGAGGCATGTCACCCACAGGAGGAGGAAGCCGGCACAGCCTCCTCCATCTCCTGACACCAACCTAGAGCTGGGGAACAGATTTTCTCTGCTTGGGGAGGCTGGGGCTGATGATGACCTGGAGGACCAACCTGTTCAGGAACTCCAGACTGGGACCAGATGAGGCCAGGGGGCCACTGCAGCAGTGGCAAAGGCCAAGGCACAGCCATCTGTCGCCACTAGGAAGAAACAGCCATGGGTGATTGTTATCAGTGACTCCCTGCTAAGGAGTACTGAGGCAGCGGTGTGTCACCCAGACCCTGAGGCAAGGGAAGCCTGCTGCCTGCCAGGCGCATGCATCCGGCATGTGACAGAGACTGGAGTGTCTTCTTCCCTTGAGGGTCACCAGCCTCTTCTGGTGATCCACATGGGGATGAACAACACGGCCAGGCAGAGGGTGGGCATGATCACTAGCATCTTTGAGACTGTGGGAAAGAAACTCAAGGACCTAAAGGCCCAGGTGGATTTTTCTTCTATCTTGCCTGTCCAGGGATTTCAGCCAATTAGGGAGAGGAGAGTTGCGGAGGCAAACTGACTCAGGACATGGTGCTGGAAGGAATGCCTCAGGTTCCTTGATCACGGCACCTGGTTCCTCACCAGTGTACTTCTGTTGAGGGACAAGGTGCACCTCATGAGGATGGGGAGAAAGTCCTTTGGAAATGCTCTAGTGATCTTCCTCCAGAAGGTTTTAAACTGAGCCAGGGGGTGGGTTGGGTTCAGGCACTCCAAAAGCCTGTCCTGATTGGACAGGAGAGGGGAGAAGATCAGAGTTTCAGGGGCAGGGTGTTGGAGGTAATGCAGGGGCAGATGGAACTTCTGTGATGAGGGTTCTGGTACCAGGAAAGAAGGGAAGAACAAGGAGGCCAGGAGTCCTGAAGAAAAGGGGGTTATAGGAGGAAGCTGAGATGCATGTATACTAATGCTAGAAGCATGAGAAACTTGCTTGAGGCATTCCTGCGAATAGGAGGGTATGACCTGGTGGGGATCACAGAAACATGGTGGGATGAAAGGCAGGATTGAAATGTAAACATAGAGGGGTATGTCCTATTCAGAAAGGACAGGAAGGGAAAGAGGGGAGGGGGCATAGCATTATATGTCAGGGATACAATGAAATAGAAGGCAGTGCAGATGGGGATCTGGTAGAGGCAATCTGGGTAAAACTAAATGGACTTGATGGGGGGGGACTTGACAGTGGGGGTATGCTATCACCCACTGAGTCAACATGAGACCTTGGACAATACCCCAACAGACCAGATTCGAAGATATCTGGGGGAGGGATGTGTTAATTATGGGCAATTTCAATCTCCCAGGTATTAGCTGGTGTCAGCATTGAGGCCGTGGACAGCTGACTAGTGGACAGGAGCATTGGGACCCAGGCAACCAGGTAGTGGCGCACAGCTCAGTCCAGAAGCACAGTTGAAAATAGTCCAACAGCCAGAGAACCGAGAAGACAATCCAAGGGAAACAGGTACCTTGAGGGCTGGAGCAAGGCAGGAGTGACTGGCACTAGGCTGGAGCAGAACTGGAGCAAGGCCAGCGCAACTAGAACAAGACTGAAGAAACTGGAGCAAGACCAAAGCAGGGCTACAGCAAGGTTGGGCCAACCGGAGCAAGGCTGAAGCAAGACCGGAGCAGTACTAGAGCAAGACTATGGTGACTGGAGCAAAGCTGGAGGAGCTGGACCAGGACTGGAATAAGACTAAAGCAGAGCACATGGCACAGAGCAACAGGACTCTCCACAAGTCAGGAAACCTTTGTTGTTGAGTTAGCTTCTGGAGGGACGAGCCACTGCTTATATAGCTCTTCCCCCAGGACTCCCAGGTGTCACTTGTAACAGCCATGATAGCTGCAGTAGGTTGTGGGTCCAATCCTGCAACTATGATGGCTGCTATTCTAGCCCTTGGCCAGAAGAGGGAACCCTGAAGTTTCCCCAGATCCTGACAGTTGGGAAACTCACTCTGTGGTGACAGCCAGGTCTCATTGCTTTCTTGATGCTATAGAGGGAGGTTTTTTCACTCAGAGGGTCTGGGAGGCAATGGGGGTGGGGGGGGAGGGGGGATATCCTTGACTTGTTTGACCAACAGGGAAGACCTGGTAGATGAGGTGCAGATTAGGGGAGCTCTAGATGCAAGTGATCACTCCATCCTTTTTTTTGAGATCAGGGGAATGGGGACAAGTGGCAGGTCGAGTACTAAAAGCTGGGACTTCACAAGGGCCAACTTTGGTCAATTGAAGGCCAGACTGGGAAAGTCTCCTGGGAGAGGGTACTGGAAGGCAAGGGAGTTCAGGAGGGGTGGATGGCACTCCAAAGGGAAGCCATGACGATACTGCTAGTTCGTGTCAGGATCAGGGCCTGAGTGACCCTGCAAGTGCCTGCAGAACCAGGAGCACCCTTGCAGGCTCTTGCAGGGAGCAGTTGAAGAGCAATTATGCAGTGCAGTCCTGAAGACCAGCATAAAAGGCTTTCTGGCACTGCTATTTTTTGCTACAGCAATGCAAGTAGTCTTCAGGACTCTCTTGTGCTCTGGCCTCTGCAACACCACACCTTGAACCTCATTCCCAGCCCTGCTGCAGTTGTTCCTGCCTTACTCCAGTGTGCTCCAGCCTGCTCCTGCTTGATCCAGTTGTTCCTGCCTTGCTCTGGTTAGTCCTTGCCTAGTTTCAGTCTGTTCCTGCCTTGCTCCAAGTGCCCTAGTCTGCTCCTGCTCCTGTGTGTTCTTGCTTGCTCCAGCTGATCCTACTCTGCTCCAGCCCCCTTTTGTCTGGACCACTTTTACAGGACTGCTTCCCTGGCATCAGACCACTGGACTGTTTCTGGCTTGTGCTTTCTCTCTCGCCTGTCTAACATTGAACTGCTTGCTGCTTGGCCTCTAGCCCTGCTAACCTGCAGGATCTGTTCTCTCACCAGCAGCCTGGTCCTGGTGTTCTGCCCATCCCAGCCTCTGCCCACATCCCGGCCCTTACAGTTAGCAAGGTGGGGAGGTGAAGGAGAGCACTGCTGTGGAGGCGAAAAGAGGTGATAAAAGGGATTAGGCATAACAGGAACCTCTGTAGGAAATGGGCACTGGGGCAAGTAGACACAAGGGTGTGCTGGGGGAGGAGGCTCATTATGAAGGATTCCTCGCAGGACTAAGGCTGATTATGAGCTGAGACTTGCCAAGAATATCAAGAGCAACAAAAAGGGCTTCTATCAACATGCAAATAGCAAGAGGAAGGGGAGACAGGTAGTGGGACCACTTGGGAGGGGAGGGAGGGGATTCAGTGACTGATGTGAGGGAACAGGCACAGATACTAAATGACTGTTTTGCCTCTGTGTTCTCCCCAAACCAGGACAGGGGAGATCTGCATGGGGGATCAGATGAGGCTGGATTTAGGGGCACAGATTAGAGTCCCCCCTCCCCAGAAGTTGAGGAGCTCCTCAGGGCAGTGGACATTACAATGGCCCCAGGCCCAGATGGGTTACACCCGAGGGAACTTTGGGAGTTGGCAGGGGTACTCTTGCACCCATTTTTGAGATCTCGTGGAGAATGGATGAGGTTCCAGAGGACTCAAGGGTGACATCAGTGGTCTCAGTGTTCAAAAATGGTAGTAGAGGGGACATGGGGAATTACAAGCCGTTTAGCCTTATGTCCATTCTAGGAAAGAAAATGGAAAGGCCCATAATAGCGAGAGATCTAGTAATTTTAGATAGGGAAGGGAGGTTGGTGACTATGCAACACAGCTTCCACAAAAGCAGACAAACCTTGTGGAATTCTATGACAAGGTTTTGAGGTGGCTAAACAGAGGGGACATGGTGGATGTGGTTTACCTGGATTTCAGCAAGGCCTTTGACAAAGTACCACATGAAATCCTGGTTGAAAAATTGAGGAGTTTTGAAACCAATGCACTGTCTGATGGATTAGGGCACAGTTGACGGACCAAAAGCAAGGGTAACTTTTAGTGAGGAATCATTGGGAAAGGGGCAGGTGATGAGCAGGGTTCCCCAGGGCTCTGTCTTGGGACTCATCCTGTTCAATCTATTCATCAATGACCTGGAAGAGGGGGTGACCAGTCTACTGACCAAATTCACAGATGATACTAAATTGGGAGCGGTGGCCACAATTAAGGAGCAGGTACTCTGGATTCAGAATCTCTGGAGGGCAAAGCCAAGGGTGGGTGACTCCTGGAATTTGCCAGTATGTGTCCTCCTGTATATTTTCCACCTTAGGCTCCTCATAGATAGCCATAGTCGCACAAGGGCAGGTAAAAATAATTAATTTTTTTTCAGAAATATTTTCCAAATGTTTGGCAACTATGAGCTGTTCTTCAAGGTGCCACTAGAGTATTTTGAAGGAACTTCCCATAGCAGTCAAAATGACTGGCACTTTTGGGGTAGGTGGCATTGGCAGGTACTAGAGCATGTTGGCAAGAGTTTCAAGGTGTTTGGGGGATTTGGGGCGGTGTTGTGACTCTTGCCAATTGTGTCAATAGCTGGACTTTTACTCACAATGGCCACCTGGGTTCAGATGACATGTAAACACATCACAGCCCTCACTGAAGCCACCCTGTGCAAATCAATCTGGATTTTCAGAATGAGACAATCCATCACATTTGTCATGTCATGTGAAACCAGTCACTATGGTTAAATATATATATTTTAGAAAAGAAAAAGGCTGCAAATATGTGTTTATTAATATCATTGGCATAGCGCTGTGTAAAAATGTTCTCTTGTCACTTGTACTGGCAAAAAGGTGAAAACCTTTCTAGAACTGCTATCTAAAAATAGTAAAGTGTGGCAGTTGAGATGTCAGAAAATAACAAGACAATGATGTGTATGTGGTGATAATCATTTTCCTTATATTAAACATGAAAGAGGAAATTGCAATGAGCTGCTCCAGTCATGTTAGTATTAAATGGAACCCAGCCCAGGGCAGTAATCAAATGGTTCCTTAGCAATCATAAACAGTATGAGCGTCCAGGAGAGAACTCAGTTACAGGGGAAAAGGTCAGTGGAAGTGTTTGGGTGAACCTGTTCTTTAGGCAAGCTGAAAAATCCCCTTATGAATATACTTGCTTTAGTAATGATTTCATACCTTTTGTTTTACACAATTAGATATGTGGCAGAACATGAAAACATCCCACAATTATGCACATAATGAAACTGATTAACCCTTTGGAACAAGCTCAAAGAACTGAAAAGGGATTCCCTTTAATGGTAGGGAAACAAAAGCTTACTCCAACAGAACCGAGAAAGACCCCATTGTGGTTAAAATGTTGGAATCCTTATGCAAAATGTGTGGTCTACACAATGCCTTTGAAACATGAACTGACAAGCAGCCTTCCAGTCATCCAAGCACATATGATGCTTATCATGCTACTTTCTTTAAAACTCAGGCAACATCCTTGGTGAATAATATGCATGTAGAAACACACTGCATTTTGCCCAGGTCATCCATCCTAACCCTCCTTTAGACTGCAGGGTCTAATGAATCACTAGTAGGTACAATTCACTCCGTTATTGTACATCAAGTGCTCTTGCTGACAGGTTTGTTGCTTGGACTGCACTTCATTCTTATACATGCTTCTTCAGAAACAGGTCCCACTGAATTTAGAGCTACTAAGGGTTCAATCCTATGGCCTCCCAACATTTCCTGAGAGGCCATAGGATTCTTCACAGTCTCAGTTACAAGTTCCTATGAACGTGGAGCTGAAATTCTGAAGTCAAAGCCCCCACCCTGCCCCCTCACAGCCAGTGTGAAAAAAGCATGCTGACTGTCCCCCAAAGGGTACAACTGAACCTTTCGGGGGGTGGGGAGGGCATGCGAAGGGCCGGTGAGGGACAGAGACTGGGACTATGGAGTTGTGCCAATTCCAGTTTGCATCTCAACCTCCCTGCTTCCTCCACAGCATTTGAGCCAGACTGCCACACCTCATGCTTTACCTTGGTTGCTCATAAGCCTCCAAGCCCTCCATTCCTAGTTCCTCCCAGTTTTCTTCATTTCAGCAATATAATTGAGAGGGAGACTTATTTTGTACTCACTATTGTTAAATACATTGGGAGTTCAAAATTCTTACTCATCTATTGCAAATCACACAGAGAATTAGCAGCAGTCCCAGATCTACGTCAGTCCACATTTATTTTGCAGTACAGGACTAATTACCTTTCCTCAGTCTGAGTGCTTCTAGGTGGATAATGCCCAGCAATACCAATAAAAAGGTTCTGTGCATCTAAATGCCACCCATTCAAAAGCTGAAAGAATGAATGGGTCCTCAGTGCATTGCATTATTGGGGTGGCTATTTAAGTGTTGTAACATCAGTCATTCAGTTGTCATAAAAGCATAGAAAATCCATTTATGTTGGTCTTGCCTTAGATTTGAAGAAGCAGGTAGATTAAGTAGAATATGTATATCTCTAAATATTAAAGACAAGATTTATTTATTAGCTACAGTATTGTATCCCATTTTTCTTTAAGAACTCAAAGCAGCTTACATCATTCTCTTCTTCCTGCTCTCAATCTTATCTCCACCACAACAACCCTATGAGGTAGGTTGGGCTGAGAGTCTGTGACTGGCCCAAAGTCACCTGGTTGGTTCCATTGCTGAGTGGGGACTGGAACCCAGATCACCTGAGTCCCAGTTTCATGCTCTTAACCACTGCACCATTATTGTATTATTATTTCCTCCCAAAATGAGGTAGCTTGTAGGCATTGCCTAATGTATATGGGTACAGGAAGCAGGTATGTCACATCTTCAACAATTAGACAACTCAGGAAAGCCTTTATTGAATTAATGCTGTGGAGTCCAATATACACAGAACAGAAGCTTTTAATAGATAAAGATATAACCTACAGCATCCCAATGGTTAGAAGAAATATGGCAATTGAATTCATAACGTGCCATGAGCACAGATTTTAAACCTCTACAAACATTTATGAAACAAAGTATTAAATTTTTGAAAGATATAAAACAGAGGAATTCCTTGTAAAACATACATAATCCAGACATAGGTGTATTTACTTTGCCCCACAAATTCAAGCTCAAGATGCCCATCTAGGTATGTCCTTTGTAATCTCACTAATCAAAGTTTAAGATTTTGAGGTATATCTCTGGGAATAAGCATTCTGTCAACTGGAAATATAATCCCCCAGTGCATTCCAGGGAATTAAATCTCCTGTAGATGGCAATTCAGACATTCACCAATTAATTGAATAACCTGACAAAAAAAATCAAAAATGTCTTTTCCTGACACTGTCCTTATATTTGACTTAAATATTTTTCATGTGCATCATGCGTTTTAGCCTCTTGCCCTCACCACAGCCAAAAGAACAGTCATGCAGTGTTTACATTTCTTTGTGGTTCTTTTTGTATATATATTGCAAGAGCAAGGAGGGAAGTTTACACAACAAATAATAAAACAATGATGCATCCACAGCTGAATCTCATGGAATTTATTCTACTATATTTCATTTCAGTTTGAGGGTAGGGGGAGGTGGGGATTTTCAGTCTAACTTCTGTCTTTTGCCTCCTAGTTAATGTTGATTGCAATTTCCACCAAGGTGAAAAATCTCAGAGTCCGAGAAATATCCCCACCACCACCACCACACACACACACACACACACACACACACACACACACACACACACACTATGCATGGGTGGTGCTAGTCTGAGCATGCCTGTAGTTCTGGAATGCATTTCCTTCAGCTTTGAGTAGATATGCCACAGTGATACGAACAGTAGAAATGTCCTTTTGCTCAAAGTACAATGTTTGAGATTAGACACTGCCAGTCTGGCAATGATCACCACATTCCTTCAGACTATGCTAGATGTGACAGAGGTCTTGGCAAGTTACCTGTGAACTGGAACCTTCTCTATGTGAGTAATGTAGAATGAGCAGCCATGAGCTTTCAGTTGGAATGAGCTTGTGTGCCATGAATTGCCTAGCTGGCAATTTTGCACAGATAAAAGGTGAGCTCTTTGCATAGTCTACAGCCAGGGAAATCTATGTTGATGGAAAAGCCAGAGCCAAACATTGTGACTTAACTCCTTCACATGGTTGACTGGTTTTATGACCAATAACAGTGTTTAAAATTACTCTTGCTAAAGCAAGGGTAATGAAATTCAAGACTTACTGCTACTAGCAAGCCACTACTAAAGGCAGCAGTGACAGTTCTGGGTAGTGAGAGATCTAAGTTTCACTGTTGATCATCACCAAGTTCAAGACTGTTGTAGAAAAATGTACCTAGAGAAGCTGTAGGGTCTGAGCTAGAACAAGGTTTGCCTCTTCTTACTTCTGGGAAGGTCAGATACCTGCTCTGTGGGAGAGAAATGGTTGATCTCCTGCACCCACATTTCAAGAACAACCAGCTGGGCATGGAATATTCCATGAGGGTTTTGTTTCCAGTACATCACCTTCAAAGTATCCAAACTGGGCACTGTGACAGAGGCAATGTCCCAACTTATGCACACATAAGCTATGGACTGACATAGAAACCTGGCTTTTCTTAATGCTCTTACCCAAATAACCTTCTTATGAATCAATACCAGTTTTGCTAATCTGAAATACACTGATTGGTGGTGGGAGCAGGGGTATTAATCTGTCACTGTCTGTTATTTCCAAAGGCTGATTGTTCATCTATAGCAGGAGTCCTCAAACTTTTTCAACAGGGGGCCAGGTGCCAGCAATGGGCGTGAGCCGCCGAGGTGGTGTGGGCGGGGGGCGTGGGCAGGGGGGTGTGTGCGTGCAGAGCGAGGCAGGGGTGGGCGTGTGTGGAGATCGTTTTCTCTGAGCGAGTCCAAAATGATCCCACACTGCGAGGCGCCGCCTTGCTCATGCGGAGATCATTTTGGACTCGCTTGGAGAAAATGATCTCCTTGCGAGCAAGCCACTGCTGGGCATGCATGGAGAGGCACTGGCTTGCTTGCAAGGAGATTCTTTTCTTCAAGCAAGTCCAAAATGATCTCTGCACGAGCAAGCCGCCACTTTGCCATGTGCACACGCAGCGAGTCCAAAACCTTTACGGCGGGCTGGATAAATGGGCATGGCGGGCCAGATCCAGCCCACCGGCTATAGTCTGGGGACCCATGATCTATAGCTTGCAGACACCA